CCAAGGGGAATCCAAACGTGTGCGCAAAGGACACGCTGCTCAGCAAAGAGCACGGGTTGYGCTACTCAGAAGGGCTGCAGTGTAAAAAATAGTTCTTTTTTTTTTTTTACTTGTTCTGTGTTTCACGGCATCGCACTTCCGCCCTGCTAATTAAAAATGGGGTCAGACAAATTGAAATCCTGAAATCCCGAAGCGTAAACACTGGAAAATTTGGCTTCATTGAATTACAGTGTCAGTCTGGCTGAAACACAGAAAGGAAATAAAGCATAAACAGTGACATGCAAACCCGGCTTTAAGGCTATTTGCTTTTTCTAATCAAGGTTTGGCATCTGAGGAGGCGCAGCATGTGCTGCGGCCTCCCGCTGCGGCTGCTCCRCTGCCCCGCACGGAGACCTGCCCGGCCACGGGCTCCGCTGCACCGGGGCGGCCGYCGGCCCTTCTCCGAGCGCCGCCAAACCCACCCATGGGTGTTCACACCGTTTAGTCCCATCTCAGGATCTGGGAGGTTTGGGTTTTGTAAGGGTTGTTTTAAAGCATCTACAGCCTTTCTGCAGGTACACGCAGATGTTTAGATGCACTGCAAGGAAAGTGTCCACACAGGTTATGCACTTCACCCCTTTCTGCTCTTTGCAAGAGCCCCAAAGCAGCAGCATTAAATCTTGCGAGCTACTGTAAAAGCCTCCTTTATTTTTGCAACGCATCCTTATATGGCTTTTCATTTGGCTTCTTATTGTTGCTGCTTTCAATTTTATTTCAAATTATTGTATAGCATCCAGAGCCATTAGGGGAAGTTTTATAAATACAATTAATTATCATTATTATTATTACAACATTACAATCTCTCTTTTCTTTTGCCAAGACCTGCTCCCTAGAGGTAATTCAAAGCAAGAGGAGTTTTGTCTTGTTTTTATTTGTCCTGCCTTATCTGCCTTAATTAAGTATTTGGGCTCTTTAGGGCAGGGAAGCTGTTTTAAGTCTGCAGCCCTGAACTCCAGACAAGCCTATGTGGCTGTATAAATACTCCGTTGTAAAAAAATAACATTTATGGTCACAGTCAATTTGTCTGACCCCATTTTGAGCCGAAGATGCTCAGAACAGGCCGAATGGCTYACAATGAGCCAAAGATGCTCAGAAACACAGAACAAGTCCAAAGTACCTTAAAGAACCAGAAAATAAAACGTGAGAGTGGCTGCACTTTTCTGCACACTCACCTGTGCGTGTTGCTCTGCAGACATCAGCTGCAGTTAAGCCACATAGATGGTTGCAGGTCTGGTCCCCGTGAGCGGTGGGATCCTCAGTGACCCCACAGCTGAATCACAGCGGCTGCTTCTGAGCCATCCAGGTGGATGAGACCTGGGGAGGCAGAAAGACATCACATCATTTTTAAGAAACACTTTCCTGTCCTTGGAGAGATGCTGCTGAGCTGCATTTTTCTATTATTCTTTTAATACTGCGGCCCCTTTAAACAGCACGTACTGTGCTTTTCTGTAAATAGCGTGTCCTTTGAGCAAATATTTTTATTTGCCTTGATTTGTTTCCCCCACGGCCATTGCTTGTTATGGTGTTTCTGTGGGAAAAGGACAAAAGACTTTTTTCAGGAGGAAGTGAAACCGATCGCGCTCCAAGTGTTGCCAAACAAGCAAAGAAACTTGCGGAGAAAGGAAACTTTCCTCAGTAGCTTCCTCTGGTTCCTGGATTTTAATGGAAACTAGCGAAAGTTGCAGAGTTTTAGAAGGAGGAATTGTGTTAAAACTGCTGCGGATGAGTACGTTTAAGCACAATTCCAGTGCAGTTAACGAGGTTCAAGTGACATCTACCGGCTACAGGCTGCATGGTTGGGATTTATATCTGCAAAATGAGYGTTGAACCGGCCTGGAGAGGAGCAGCAATCCCAGAACACGTCAGACAAGTTTCCAAGTGGAGTGGAAGGGTGGCCAGCACCTCCCCAAAACCCCTCTTTGTGCCTAGGCCTAGGAGCATGTTGCAGGTTACCAAGCGAGCGCGCAGCTCTGCCCGCACAACCCGGCTTAAAGATGCGTCCTGCCCAAAGCGCTTAGGGGCACGAGCAGAAACTGCCAGTTGAGAGGGGCTCCCGCTTCCTGCTGCATTTGCAGAGCCTCTTCGTGCTTTGATGGTTTCTGCCCAAAGYTGATGAGACAAAGGCGTGGTGATATGTGCTCATCAGCCTGAGCAAATTAAACCCAGGGGATCAAAAACAAGAAAAGCAAAGCAAGGTATGTTCGGGGTGGTTTTTAAAGAGGAGAGCTTGAAGTACCCTGAAGGCATAAATTAAAAGCAGACATAAAAGAAAACTCCCTTTCCACCACCAGGAGAAAGCAGCAGTCTGGTTAATCTTGATGTTTAGGGAAGCAGGGCAGCAGGAACAGGAGGAATTTGGGAACAGTCAGATGGGCTGTATGCACTGAGYGTGTTATCTTATGATGCCGTGCTTAAATAAGAACTAATCTGACTGCAAAAAAAAACTCTTAGGTCTTAATTTAGCTGTATCCTGAACTCCAAACAACGCAGAGGGGAGTGGATTTTCCATGGCATCTGGACATCAGCCAGGAGCAGGGTCCCCTAAAAGAAAGGGACACTCTTCAAACAGTTAAGCACTTAGCACAAATCCTTTGTGTTCTGACGCTTTTCTCTTATTTGGTAGCTCTTAATCTTAATGGTTCCAGACATGGTACATTTGTGGGGTGTATTACAGCAACATCGTGTTGGCTGCGTTTCAGCATATGGACACACGTATCTGGCAGAAGCTCTGGATCGCTGTCCTGCTGGGAATCTGCGATGGCCTCATCCTGCTCTCCTGATGCTGCAAGCAAATGCAATCACCTCCCTTCTGCTGGATTCACACCAGCCCCACCGTGAACTGCACCGGGCCCCAGCTGCTGAMACCAGCTCCGGCAGGGCAGGCCATCTGTGCACTCCACATGGTTATAGCCCGTCACACATTAACTCCCTGGAATGGGTCCGTGTTAAGGTATTGGGCTTCCCAAACACTGTTCCAAATTCATTGGAGGTCCAAGCTATGGAGTTCCATGAAGTTACGCTCCGGAGGAATTTGATCCTTCACATTCTTCTAGCCRGTTGTTGCAACACAGTTGACATCCGGAGGGACGAGGGCAGCTGGGTTCAAGGCTAGCAGTACCTTTGACCCTCCCCATGTGTCCGATGGGCTTGGGTGAATCTTGTGGGGTGGCTGACGGGCTCCGGGCCCCCATCCTGAGTGGGAAAGAGCAGCTTCCCTGCTCCTTCCCGCTGTGATTCGCATCCCCATAGGCTCATCTATGAGGCTGAAGCAGGACCAGCTCTGGTGTTTCTGCAACAAAACATCCCCGCTCGGCAGCGGCGTCTCAGGATACCCCTGCCCACCCGTCAGACCTGGCCCCGGCTGCTTCCCTGAGAGCCACGTGTGACCACAAACACCCAAAATAGCGCCTCTGGAAGCAAATCCTTTGACTTCAAACAGCAGCAGCAAAGCCCTACAAGAAAGGCAGTTTCAATCACAGCCTGAAGAGCCAGGTTTTTTGTTCTTTYCTAAGTTCTTTTCCCTGGATTTCTGACAGATTTTCTCCTTCCTCTTCCCCAAGCCAGGGCATTGATCTCAGCAGGATCACAAGCAAACTTCAAAGGGACTCACATTTGCCCTGCCTGTTGATGTCCATGAATGGCGCCAATCTGAGCCTTGTCTTCCTGCCTCCCTGTGAGATGAGATAAGGGTGGCCACAGGAGCCCTCTGGCCCTCACGCAGCCAGCCAGGTGGGACACACACCCATCACCTGAGCACCTAGGGCGAAAAAAAGCCTCAAGGGCCTGAAACATTAATATAAGCCTGATGTGAAGCTCCAGAACACACTGGCCCTGTGTGCTTCCATACTGCAAGTGACCTTGTCCTATAAGGACCATACCAGAAAGGGGACAGGCCCCCAAAATGAGCAGGACCCTGAGGACCAGAGCGCAGCAGGAGCTGACACCCTTGTCCYGAGATGCCCTGATTTCATCAGCACCCATCGGTGCGGATATGCCTCATCACCGCTACTACGCAATTCTTCTGCATGTCATTTTATACCCAAAAGGGCAAGAGTACAAGTAAACCATTAACGAGCCTTTACGTGCCTGCGCGGTGACATCACACATGCAGGACACCYGGGCATCACTGTAAAACCAAACCTCGCTTTCCACCGTAGTTTTCCACGCGCTGGAAGCAGATTTGGTTACAGGCACTGATACGAGCAYCCGCACTTTGCATTCCGCTAGGATTTCACTCCCGTAACAACCCCAGCTCCCGTGTGGCCCCTTGGTGGCCCCGGGTGGCCTGGCCTGGGGATGGCACCTGACCCCCATGGGGCTCCTCCAGACCTTTGCCCTGCTSTGGGGCTGAGGTGGCTCCGTCCTGGCCTGTGGCACAGCAGGACAGACCCCATTCCAGGGGGAACATCCCGGCTTTGAGCCCGTGGGCTGCTGGTGGGATCTGGGGAGGAGGGAAACCCAGAATGATGCCCRGGACAGGAGAGGGGGCCTCTAAGTCCTGGGGGAGGTGGGGAGGAGGCCATGCCCTTAGACAGGTAAGTGTTGGCATGTGAACCCCCATTCTTCCCCCAGAGACCTCCAGACACGTCACCTCCGCAGAGTTTGTGCCCCTGGGTACCCAGGGYGCACAGCCCGTGACCAGCACCCGTGGTCCCTGTTCCTAGGCAGCACACGAGGGGAGAGATCCGCAGCACTGGCACCCCCAATGCACAGAGGGCTCCCCCAGAGCCACCAGCTCGGACAGGAACAGCCTCCAGCCCCACCCGAGGCTCCCGAGCCCCTCACCAAGGCTCGGGGGGACCGTGTCCCGCCGCCCCAGGCCGGCGCGGGCCGGTCCTCCCCGCGGCAGCCCCGGCGCGGCCGCCGGGGGCGGGGAGGCGGCGGGCCGGCCCCGGCCGTGCCCATAAGGCGGGCGGAGGCGGCGGCGGCGGCAGCGGCAGCGCATGGCGGCGGTGGCGGCGCGGGGCCTGCGGGGCGCCCGGCGCCTCCTGCCCGCGGGCGCCCGGCGCGAGAGCCGCGAGCTGGCGCGGCTGGCGGGGCCCGTGGTGAGAGCCGGGGCCGGGCGGCAGCCACGCGCCATGGCAGGGCGGGAGGGAGACAGGGAGGGAGGCGCCGCGCGGCGCCGCGGCGGGAGCTGGGAGCTGTCCCGAGGCGGCGCAGCCCCGGGGGGAACGGTCGCCGCGTGAGGGGGAACGGTCGCCGCGCGCAGGGCAGGGGGCGGGTAACGGTCGCCGCGTGAGGGGTAACGGTCGCCGCGCGCAGAAGGGAGGGGGTAAYGGTCGCCGCGTGAGGGGTAACGGTCGCCGCGTGTAGAAGAGGGGGTGACGATCGCCGTGTGAGGGATAACGGTCGCCAACCATGGGGAAACGGCGGCTGTGGGAGCAGCCCCGGAGGCGGCTGCTTCGCCCCGCGCGGCCTCCCCGCCGAAGCAGCCCCCCGAGACTCCGGGGGCCGCGGGGCGACCTGGTTCCCGCTCCCCTCGCGGGTCCCTCGGCGCCTGTGAGACCACGTCTGCGCCCGCCAGCGCCTTTGCTCAGCTCGCATCAACGCCCAGTCCTTCCCTTATTCCCTCATTACCACCCACGTGTCTAGTCTTTTTCACAGGAATTCCTGTTGCTGTTTAGTTTAGTCCATTAAGGCGACGCGGGTGCTGGCAGCGCCCGTGAAAATCGCCCTAGAAGAGGAGCAGTGGGCATGCAAGCTGTTTAAATGGCTCAGTGCAAGCTGCTCACAGCCCCATTGCCCCCACACAGCCTTAGGCAAGTCCTGGGGGTTGGTACCCGCTCTTTGGCCTCCCCAAAGGATGCTCAGGGCTGAGGTACCGGATGATGGGCTCTTCTCAGAGCCCCTGTGCATAGAGGAGCATCTGCACCAAGACGAACCTTTCCCTGGCTCTCTACAGCCAGCAAAACACACACCGCGACAGTCAAACACGAGACCTAGTCTAGATCCATTAAACATTAAGTTTTAGGGTTTGAACCTTCTGCTCCGTCTGCTTGATAGGTACCAAGGGAAGAGTTTCTCTGAGACCTCCTCCTCGCCATCAGAGCACTAACACCCGCGATCAGACAGGAAGCYGAGTCTGGTTTCTCTTTCTTTAGCTGAATCCCCCAGTGAAATCCCGGCTGCCTTTGACTTGGGATACTTCTCCCAATGCCCAGATAACCTCCAAACGAAACCTGAACCTGCCTTCCAGGTGTAGCTGTCATCAGTAAATACTCATTTCATGTCAATTCTTGTGTTGGATCAAGCACGGAGGTAGGGAGCCTTTTTGTGCATCACTCACAGCAGCTCAGCATGCCCGRGTCCGGGAGGAGGATGACTCTGCTCTGCTCTTCCTCCAGCCCCACAAGAGATGCTTCTCCAGCTTATAAACCAGCTGGAAGGAAAGCAGCTTGAGCCAACGAGCTGTGAACATCCCGGGTTCCCACTGCCTTCTTGCTCTGCCACGTCCCTGTGCCTTGGACACCTGCAGAGGGGCTGCCCTCTTGCCAAGGGAAAAAGAGGTCTCAAGTGCAATTGCTACTGCATTTAACTTTAAAGTAACTTTAACCCTTTCTGTAGCCCCAGGTTAGGATCAAGTAAGCTGAACTTCGCATTAGTCCAGGAGGAGATGACAACATGGTTTGAGGAGAAGAGTTTTCCCCTTGGCATAGCAATATCTCAGAAACACATGAGAATAAAAGAGTGCTGATTTTTCCCCCMCACACACACTCTACACAAAACAGTGTATTTCCAATATCCTATTGGAAAACAGGATTTTTAGTGGCTCTGTTAAACCCCATGTAAAACAAAGTCATCTATCAGATTGACCGTCTAATTCCTAAATTCCACAACAATTTTAAGACTTTAGGAGTCAACGGAAGAAGCTGGAGCTCCAGGCAGCATTCGCAGCAGAGCTCGGGGTTCAAGGCCCTCTTGTAACACCAGGAAACTTGGACTGGTCACAGTCCAAGTCGCGGGGCAAGACGGTGTTTGCCGAGCTGCAATCAGAGCTTACCTCACAGTGTCCTTCTGCCATCCCAGTTTGTAGCCCAGCTGCTGGGTTTCCTGATCAGCGTGGTCAGCTCCATATTCTGCGGCCATCTGGGGAAAGCTGAGCTCGATGCCGTGACACTGGCCGTGTCTGTAAGTGTTGCTTTTTCTTCTCTGATGTAAAGCATACAAATTGTGGACCACCCTAAAAAAAAAAATGAAGAAAAACCCTAGAGGAAATCTTACCCAAGAAGCCCATGTCTAAGCACGTCGATGCAGCACTGACACTGCACCTACCGAACTGCTTTTGCCAGAGGGCAGGCAGGAGATACAGGACTGAGCAGTAAGCAGTAGTGTCAGTGCAAGGCCTGCACCAGCTTAAGCCTRTGACCCAGCTCTTTGGACCTGCCAGGCCCAGACATGCTCCTGCAGCTGGGAGCAGCACTAACGAGTTATCTTTTAGGTATTTGGCCTTTGCTGGAGGATCTTTTCCCACAGCATACGAGGGAAGAGGCTATTTGGATAACATTTATGTGTTATTCTGAGAAGCAGAGACAGTCTGGAGACTTCTCAGAAACTCCCAGCAGAAACATCTCCCCACCCAGCTGAGAGGGACACGGCGCTTTGGGCCAGAGCCCTGTGACCCTCCCTCACAGACCGAGTTCCCTCTCTCCTCCAGGTTATCAACGTGACGGGCATCTCCATTGGTTCTGGCTTAGCCTCGGCATGCGACACGCTGATGTCCCAGGTCAGTAGCTGCTGCCCGTTCCGTGCGTGGGGAGGGTTCAGCTTGGTGCTGCTTTGTGTCCTGTGCAGGACAATACAGGCAGCTTCTAGCCAGCCTGGGGCTCCAAACGTGCTGTCTGGAGCCTGCTCCCTCCGTGGGGGACAGGAGGGGCACAGACGAGGAAGACGTGGGGCTGAGCCAGACTCTCCGAGGAGCGCTGGGTTGTGCCTGGGTAGTGCAGGGAAGTGCATCCTTGTGAGGTCTGGTTCAATCTAACCAACCCCACTCTGTCTGCTGCTGGGAGTGGGAAGAAACTGCRTTGAATTGATCTGTTGCTGCTTCTGGACTGGCACATCGGCCCAGACCTTTTTCCCTCAGCCTTATCTCTCTCCTTGGTGCTGTCTCTCCACTCAGACCTACGGTGGCAAGAACCTGAAGCAGGTGGGCACCATCCTGCAGCGAGGGATCCTTATCCTGCTACTGTGCTGCTTCCCTTGCTGGGCAATCTTCATCAACACCGAGCAGATCCTCCTGCTCATCCGACAGGACCCCGAGGTCTCCAGGTCAGGAGCGAGATCAAGTCTGACCCCTCTCTGGTCTGCAGCACGTGGGACGTCAGCCCTCCAGGCACTGAAGGCTCTGGTTCCGACGGGCCTTTCCACGGCCCTGGCAGCGGGGAGGGCTCTGGGATCTCACTTGCTGACAGGGCTATCAGAAACCAAGATGATGGATCTAGGGTCCCCTGAACCTTCTCTGGAATCTTTAGGGTGCCCAGGCCTTGCTTTCCTGTTGCTTCCAGTTGCTTTCCTGTATCATTAACTGGGGCTACAACTCTCTCTCCAGGTTAACACAGCTCTACGTGATGATCTTTATCCCAGCTCTTCCAGTAAGTTGCTGCTAAAGCTCTCACAAGTTCTGTAACCCTCAGTAACGTTTGGGGGAAAGAGGGAGAATCTTTGGCTCCGTGGATCACAGGAGAGGATGATTTAAGGTTTTGCAATGGGTCCCTTGATCTTAGGCCTTAAGAGATGTGTGCTGATCATGACTGTTGGACTAGCAAACATGCACTTTTCCATCTCACTGTGCAAATGCTTCTCCTGAAGCCCCATCCCTGTGCAATAAGTAACTGCCTGTAGATACTGGAAGCAGGGGCTTCCCCCTTGGCTCGTAGCTCGGAGATGAAGGCTGCAGGTTGCTATCAGCACACACTCGCAGTGCCAGGTGTTTGCCTCTTACTCTRTCTTTCTGAAGAGACTGCCTTAAGAGAAGGATCAGTTACCTTAGAAAATAAGTGGCTGTCGGTTATCACTTTCCTTCAGKATCTGCAGGCTCTCTCCTGCTGATGGAGAAACTTGGGAGATCTACAGTTTGGAGACCAATCTCTCATCCTGGTGGGAATGGAGAGGGTTAGTGCCCAGCCWAGGGACGGTGCCACTCTGCAAGGCCGAGGTTCCCCTTGGGCCCCAGCAAGGGAAGCTGCTTTGTGCTTTGCCTTTTGTTGCTCCGAGCTTGGTGTGCAGCAGTGTCACCCAGCTGAAATGAGCCACAAGACCTAGGTGCTGTTGCAACATGCCTGGCTGTGGCATCCTGACACGGTGGCGGGAGGAGGCGAGGAAGGGATTTATCCGGGAATGTTAAATTGTAGCTGGCTCTTGAACCGTAGCRGCACCGGGTTCCTCTCTGTGCGGGCCAGTGGGGAGGGCTTGGGACTCCCACGCAGCRCTGATGAAATGAATCCTCCTTCTTTCAGGCGGCGTTTCTGTACCAGCTGCAGACAAGATATTTACAAAGTCAGGTACTGTGTAACTAACTGCGCGCTGGGCCGCAGATTATAGGTATTCCTGGGAATGCAGATAAGAGTGGTGATCTAAGTACACCCTGTCCGAGGGAGCACTGGGCTGAGAAACGTGTGATCTTTAGTCTTCAGCCAGCCCTGCAGAGCAGGGAGAAGCCATGGGGACTAGTCTTGCTATACTCTCCCCTTTGCTTTGTCACAGGAGTCATGCTTTTGCCATGCTTCTTTTGGGTAACAGCAAGGGTCAGTGATGGATCTGGGCTCCAAAATATGTCTTTGGCTTCCAGGCGATCATTTTGCCCCAGGTGATTACGGGCATAGCAGCCAACGTCCTCAACGTGGCCATGAACGCCATCTTCCTGTACGCGCTGAAGCTGGGCATGGTGTAAGTGTCACCGGGCGCGGTGGCACCATCTCCCTCCRTGAAGGGGTTTGCTCAGGGCTCTGGAGGGGGTGTCTTGGGTGCCTGGTTCTGCCCCAGCCTCCAAAGAGAAGGCTGCCTTCAAAGAGAAGGCTGCCACAGCTGCCACAAAGCTCCCTTGGATGCCACTAGGTCTCTTCTGGGGAAATTGAGATTGGGAAGGATGCTGTTCGTAACCTGTCCATATTTTTACTCAGGGGGTCTGCCTGGGCCAACACTATTTCTCAGTACACACAGGCCATCCTTCTCTTCCTTTACGTGCGGTGGAAGAAGATCCATGTGGAGACCTGGGGAGGTACTGTCCATGCTTCATTCTTTTAAAACACTGCTGTCTGCCCTTGGGGATTTGGCACTGTCACTAGGATGCAGAGTATAGGTCTGATAGAGGGATAGAGAGACTAGGCTGAGCCCAAGCCCATGACTGTACCCCCAAATCCTTTCTCTTCACCTTGGCTCAGGAACACGCTGTCATGTAGGGAAGATGCTCTGGAAGATGTGGCTTGCAGTCCTTGTCCTGAGAGAGCATCCAGAAGATGATACATGTCCCCCACGCTGAGGAGAGTGCATTCATTCTGCTTCACCTCTTCCTTGCAGGCTGGAGCACGGACTGCCTCCAGGAGTGGGGTTCCTTTATCCGTCTGGCTGTGCCCAGCATGCTCATGATGTGTATTGAGTGGTGGACCTTTGAAATCGGGAGCTTCCTGGCAGGTGAGTCCAAACCCTCTTCCTTACCTTGACTCAACAGAGCATCTTCCACTCATGCCTGCCATGGTGCTGCCTCTCTGCTGCACACCCAAAGCACCTGCAAAACTCCTTAAAGGAGTTTTAATTTTGATGTGATGAAGGAAATGCTAAATCTCTTCCAGGGCTGCTCAGCGTGGTGGAGCTGGGTGCTCAGTCTGTGATCTACGAGCTCTCCTGCGCAGCGTACATGGTAAGGGCTGTGCGTGTCCCCCAGGACTGGCTCAGGAGGACAGCGGGGTGGGAAGCAGAGCCAGGTACCAGGTTTGGAGGTGCCTGCTGCATGAAACCCCTCACTGCAGCCCGCAAGCGCCTGCCCCGAGGAGCCCCACACTGTGCTCACATTAGCATCGCTCTGTTCCTGGGTAAGGCAAGCGCGTTTTTCAGGATTCTCCAATGTATCCAAAAAAATGTTACGCCCATGGGATGGGCTGTAACTGCCAGCTGCAGAAAGTAGCCTGGAACTGAGTGTCAGTGACAACTCTTTGTCCCCAATGCTCTACCTGGGAAGAGACAAGCTGTGGCAGTCTCTGCTGCCACTCACCTCYTCCTTGTCTCCTGCTCCTCAGGTGCCACTGGGCTTCAGCGTGGCCACGAGCGTCCGAGTGGGCAATGCCTTGGGATCAGGGGATGCAGTGCAAGCCAAGACCTCCTGCRTCACTGCCCTGCTCTGCTCAGGTCAGCTCAGGCCCCTGCGGAGGGGAATACAGGATAGTTAGCTAGGTAGTTTGCAGAGTTCGCAGTGTCTGTAGTTAGGTAGGTAGTCTGCAGAGCAAAGCTCTTTGACTATTTCTTTTCCTTTCAGGAGTGTTTGCTGTAGTGGTTGCTACTTTACTGGGAGTCCTGAAGGATACTGTGGGCTACATCTTCACTAGTGACAAGTGGGTTGGCTGCTTTCTTTTAAATAGTTACTTGCTTGGTGGGCCTCGTGTGCAATGACCTAGGAACAGCTCATAGGTGGAGTTCATAAACCCCATCATAAACCCCAAACATTCCCCAAACATTCCTCCCCACTGCCTTGTGTCACACGGATGCTGCTGGCTCTGGGACAACACTCTGGCAGAACCCAAACTGCATRTGCTCCCAGCTGCAGGTCCAGCAGCTTCCCCAGCTGGCCCAGGTGGGACCAGGAGGTGTGAGAACCCCTACGCTACATTCTCTGACCAGCATATACATTTTCCCAACAGGGAGATTGTTACCTTGGTGTCCAAAGTGATGATGATCTTTGCTCCGTTCCACTTGTTCGATGCCGCAGCAGTGAGTATTCCAGAATGTGGAGCAATCCCTCTCTGCAGGCTGTGATGTCATGGAGAATGCAGAGCTATCATTTAATCCATAAAAATGATACAGGGAAGCACCCTGAGAACCTGCCAAAGCAGTTGCTTGCGTTAGCTACAGCTTCTCTTCAACATCCCCCTGTGCTTGTAGCTTGTACCATCCCCTGAGCTCCTCTAGAGGTACCCACCAGGCTAAGTGCTCTTCCCGTGTGGTGATTCCTGTGCCTGCCTTCCTCAGGCCACGTGTGGTGGTGTGCTGAGGGGTGCAGGGAAGCAGAAGATGGGTGCGATCGCCAACGCTATCGGCTATTACGCCATCGGCTTGCCCATTGGCATCTCGCTGATGTTCGCGGCTAAGCTGGGGGTGCTGGGTAAGTTCGCTCTGTTTGGTGTTGGGGACCTAGCTCTGTGCGAGTTGCCAGCACTGCTCCTGTTGGGTCAAACCCTGTGGTCTCTCAGATCAAGACTGACTTTGASCAAAGCTCTGACCCCGCCAAAGTCCTCAGGCAGGAGCAGGGTTTCTTTGAGCCCTCACTAAAATAACTCTCCCTTGTTGCAGGTCTGTGGGTGGGGATGATCATTTGTATATCTTTGCAAGCCCTTTCCTTCTCAACCTTTGTCATGCGCATGGACTGGAAGAAAGCTGCAGAAGAGGTAAGGCTGGAGCTTCCCTCGCATAGCTCTTAGAAGGCTTTAGGCCAGTTCCTGTCCCACCACAAGGCTATAACCCTGCAGCTGTTTGCAGGGAAGGAGCAAAACAAGCCCTGTCCCTCTGCTCTAGCACAGGAACAATTTGGTGCTTTGGGAAGGAAGGTACAAGAAGGAGACAGACTTGCTTGGTTGGGCAAGGCTGCTCCAAGGAGAGCAACTCTTCTGTGTGTTTTTAGGCTCAGATTCGAGCTGGACTGAAAAAACTGGAAGATGTGAACTCCAATGGCACAGCTGCTAACAAAATATCTGCTCTGGGTATGTAACCAGGCCTGATAACAGGGAGGGAGCCCAAGTTCTCCACCCAGTCCTTCCTTTCCCTCACAATTCTGTCCTGCTGGCCCAGACAGCTGGACRTGCAGTGTGTGGTGCTGGTCCCAGCCTAGTGACACTTCTGCTGCCTCAGTAATGGGTACAAGGTACTCGTCCCCTATTGCTACCCGGGCTGCTCCAGGGAAGGGCCAGCACCGCCACTGTTTGCATTAGCAGGGAACACCTGCCACCTTGCTGCTGCGTGTCCYCTGTCCTTGAGCCCTGAGAGAGGCTGTCACCACTGCTTGTGCAGTAACAGGCTGGGGTGTCCGTGCTTGGCAGCTCGGCTTCCCTGAAACACTCACCTCTGTTCCCAGATTACGTCTCTGTTGATGCCGATGCCGTGGACACCGTGGTCTTGCCCGACAGTGCTGCAGGAGCTGAGAAGCAGCCCGACCAGCAGCTCGTCGTGCTGGAGGGGCCGGTCGTCCCTGCTCCCGCGCTCCGGAGAGCCCTCATCCTCCGCCGGGCGCTGGTGGCCGCGGCGGCCGTCGCTGTCCTGCTCGCTGGCCTGCTGCTGCGGCTGCTGACCGGCAAACRCTAGAGCTGCCGTGGGCACGGCCCCGTCCTGGGAAGAGGGCARCCAGGGAAGACACTTCCTCCTCAGTAGCTTGTTAAGAGTCACTTGGTTTCTGGTTAAGTCAAAACCTCCTATCCCTCATGCTCAGTTCTTAAAGGAGATGGGGACGCAGCACCCAGGAAGCAAGTGTGCGAGAGGCCGTCCCCTCTCCAGCACTGCGCTGGGATGTCACTTGTGATGCAGCGAGTGTGTCTAGGGCTGCCCAGGGAGGGAGCCAGGCCTGGTGCTGCCCCAGCTCCAAGGAAAGCTTTTCATCCAGCTCCAGGGAGCCTTGGACCAGGTGCTTTGCCGAGGGCAGAGGCTCCTGCTGCCCACAAAGCGCGTCCTCCCACGGAGCTGCCCTCCTGGGTCTCGGCAGGTCTGAGSCCGCTCGCTGAGGCTACGGCAGCGCGCCGCCGCACCGGGCCCTGCTGCCAGGAAAGGGCTGACTCCCGCCGAGGTGTTGGTGCTGGCTCCTGGCCTGAATGCAGGCGCAGGGCCTAGAGCAACTCCTTTGCACTTTTGTAACCTGGGATTTTGATACAATAAAGTTTTCTGAGTAAACCCCGTGTAGTTAATGGGCTGTGAGCACAGCCCCGGTCACTGCTAAGCTCAGGGCGGGGAGATAGGTGCTTGGTTCCTAGCACAAGCCTCAGCTTGTGACCAGCTTTCACAGGGAAATAGCCTCAAAGACTGGTACTGGTGCCCCACGTTGGCACCCGAGCCTGGCTGGGCTGCAGCAAGGAGCACCCAGCTCTGCTCACACACARATAGAGAGCCCCCTCACCTCAGCTGCTCCCAGCGCATTGCTGAACCACACGGGAAACGCTTTGATAGGCGGCTGCGCTGCCCCGGAGCAAAGTCTGGGCGTGAGGACGGCTGCCAAGGAAGCGCCCTGCACCTTAACACGAGTGTCCCCTGGCACCGCTGCCCCATGGGCAGCTCTCCTGGTCACCTGCGGGCTGGGAATTAAAAAGAAAAAAAGGAGAAGGAACACAGAGTAAATCAGCTTGAAACACCCATTAACCGTGACCACAAAGTGCAGGGTCCTGGCCCCATGCGCGGGTCTACCTCGATGTGGGAACTGTGGCAGACTGTGCCCGCATAGAGTCCCTGTGTTTGGGCACTGACGCCTGCTAGAGGAGGAGCTGGACCCGGCTCTGCCCGCGGACCCCCAGCCCTGCCCGCCCGAGCCCAGCACCGTGCGGTGCACGAGGGYTCTGTGACCAGCTCGGGGCGCCCGGCCGGCCGCGCTCGCCCTGCCGCGTCCAGGGCAGGACGCTATATTTGGCCTGGCGGAGCGGTGCCGCTGAAACCCGACGCTGAGCGCGGGGCCGACAGCTGGAGCCAAMGGGGCCGGCTTGTTTTGGCCGCCGCGGTGCTGCGACAAGAGGGGCGCGACGGGCAGCAGCCCAGCCCTGGCCGACGAAGCCCTCGGGGGCAGGAGCTCGGGAGAGACATCCCAGGGACCCCAGAAGCCTCCGTCTCGTCTGGGAGACAGAGCAACCTCGTGCCCTCCCGCCAGCAGAGCCGCAGCGGGACAGGGGAAAGGCAGGTGGGTGCCAGCAACCACAGCGACTCTTCCCAGAGCCCTGCCAGTCATCAGCTCTTTGGGGACAGGGACAGTGCCAGCGGCAGGTGGGCTGCGCTGGGGGGGCTCGTGGGGCACCAGCTGCCTCCCATGGGTGGTGTGTGCGACTGGTGCTGCCCGCGGGGGGACGCGGGCCCCTCGCCCGGCTCCCCGTCCTGCCCCGACCCCGGCCCCGTGCAGCGGCAGCGCGGCGCTGGCTGAAGTTCACCGCGCCGTGGTTACACATTGCTTACCCTGGCGAGCAGGGCGCACGGMGGCTTTAACGGAGCGCGCGCGCGGAGCCGCCTTCCACTGCCCCGGCAGCGCGGCAGCATGAAGCCGGCGAGCGGCGCCGAGGAGGGCGGCTGCAGCGAGGCCGGGGCCGGCAGCCCCGCCGAGCCCGGCGCCAAGAAACGCCGCTGCCTGCGGCGCCTCGTGCCCGACAACTTCTGGGAGGACGCGAAGAAGCTGCTGGTGCTGTCGGCGCCGCTGGTAGGGCTCCCAGGTGGAGAGGACCCGCGCRGAGGGAGAGAGGGTCAAAGCGGCCGCGGGCACCACGGGGAGCAGGGTCCTCGGTCAGCAGAGCCCGAACTCCAGAGCTCCTGGAGAAGATGCTCTAACTGCCTGGCAAAGGGGTAGAAACCTCAAACCAGTTTTACCTGAGGTGCCACGAGGGATTTGTTTGCTGACCGGTTGTGTCCTGGTGGATGGGTGCAGCTTCCCTCCTGCGCCGGGCCCCGCAGTGCCAGGTCTCTACCTCCGGCACGGCTGCCCCTCTCGCTCCCCTCTGTCTCTCCCCGTCTCCTCTTCCTCGCACCTAGATCGTGAACCAGCTCCTGATTTTCCTGATCCACCTGGTCAGCTCCATATTCTGCGGCCACCTGGGGAAGGTTGAACTGGCCTCTGTCACACTGGCCATCGCTGTGAGTATTTCCCTAGTGCCTTGGCACCTGTCAGGCAGCATCTCCGACCTGATAATGCTGCACTCTGGTTAGGGAGACAGAGGCTGGGGCCACGTCCTGTGACACGGGGATAGAGACAAACTGAGGAGACTTTGGACTCTGACTTTTAGGAGCTATCCCTTCCTATCTAGTATTATACACACTCACATTTGTTTATTCCTCTGCTCCTTCCAGGTTATAAACGTTACTGCCATCTCTGTAGGATACGGTTTGTCTTCGGCATGCGACACCCTGATATCCCAGGTGGGTCGGAGCCGTCGCCGCCCGCGCCGGAGCTGCCGGGTTTGCGGAGCGGGCGCYGGGCGCCAGGCAGGGCCGGGCACGGGGAGCCGGGAGCACCCCGAGCCGGCTGGCAGGAGCTCGAGCTCCCCTTGACGCACCGAGTGCTTCCAGGCTGGGCTGGCGTCAGGGCGGCTCCGCTGYGCTGGGCCCTGCGGCTCCCTGCGGCCAGGGCTCACGTCGCCCTCTCGCCACCCAGACCTACGGCAGCAGGAACCTGCGGCGCGTGGGCGTCATCCTGCAGCGCGCCACCCTCATCCTCCTGCTCTGCTGCTTCCCCTGCTGCGCCATCCTCATCAACATCGAGCAGCTCCTGCTCCTGGTCCGCCAGGACCCCGAGGTCTCCAGGTCGGGTGGCCCCYGACACCGGCGCCTTGGTCCTCCTGAGGGGGACAGCGGCCCGGACGCCCGGCTCACGGGGCGCTCTCGTGTCCCCCAGGCTCACGCAGGTCTACGTGACGGCGTTCGTGCCCTCGCTCCCTGTGAGTGCTGGGGGCAATGGGGGATGCTCTGCGCGGAGGACGGTCCTGGCTGCAGCGGCGCGGGGAGCAGGACGCAGAGCCCGCTCCAGCCACGGGCTTCACCCCCCGCACCAATTTGCTTTTCAGGCAGTTTTTCTCTATCACTTGGAGACCAGATACCTGCAGAACCAGGTAGGCGTCCCATAACACTCACATCTACRGAGGGTCTTCTGCTCTGGGCATGGGGCTCCCCTCGGCCACAGTCCTGGCAAGTGGTGCTCACCCCCGCCGGTGGCTCCAAGTTCTTCCCTGGAGATCACTCATGTCACAGGGACAGTTGTACCTGATGGACCTTCCTTTGCACCTTCCTGTATTGGGGATTTACCTCCAGCACCATCATTTTCAAAGTAGGTGACTAAAGTCACAAGCTTGCCCGCTGGTTTGAAGGTGATGAGCCGAGAAGGGGTTGGACAGGGGTCTTTGCATCTCTCCTGCATCTCCCCAGCAGGGAGGCAGGTGATGAAGGCCACCCCCTCTTCTTCACAGATGATCATGTGGCCCCAGGTGCTGAGCGGCATCCTCGGCAACACGGTCAACGTGGTGGCAAACTGCATCTTCCTCTACGTGCTGGGCTTGGGCATTGTGTGAGTAGCACCCGAGGCCCACGCGGGATGAGACAGCCCACGTTGCAGCTGCAGCTTCACCCGAGGGTCCAAAACAGCAAACGGCTTAAAGGAAACAGGATTCTTTGCTCTGAGAAACGCRGTGTTTTCAGAAAGGACTGACTTTGGGAGCTGGTTTACTGGGACCTGCCAGCACGAGGGCAGGAGCGGCTGTGCCGGGAGCCGGGAGCAGGATGCAGACGTGGTTTCTCCTTTCCCTTCCCTTCCAGGGGCTCRGCCTGGGCCAACACCGTTGCTCAGTACGCTCAAGCCATCTTCTTGTTCCTCTATATTGTAGGCAAGAAGCTGCACGTGGAGACGTGGGGAGGTGAGACATCTTCCCCCATGCCACCGTGCTCCTGCTTTGTATGAATGCCCGTAAATGTGTCACCCTTTCTATGGAGCACGACTTGTTAGCCCTGAAGGTGCAATATTAACCTGCTGCGCCGGTGACGGGCACCGTGCCATGCAGTGAACATTAATTCTGGGAGCTCTTGGCGGCTGGCGCGTTCTGCTGAAGCACTGGGGATACTGGGCCCAAAGCAGGAGCAACCCGGACCCCGGTGCGAGGGTCTCCTGAGGTGCTCGGGTCCTAGAGGGATCACACGGAGGTGCCCAGCTCCGGGGTCCTGGCAATTGCAGCAGCAGAGCACGTCCATGCACAGTGATGAGATTCTGCCAAGCTGATGAGCGTTGACTTGGGGGCTTTGCATAGGGCTCATGGCATGCAAGGCCCRGGCGGCTGCCTTGCGGCCCTCCGAGACGCACAACTCGGCCATTCTGGTCCTGATCAGGCGAYGTTCCTCGTGTCTCCTCCCAGGCTGGTCCGTGGAGTGCCTCCTGGACTGGGACAGCTTCACCTCGCTGGCCATCCCCAGCATGCTCATGATCTGCATCGAGTGGTGGACCTATGAAATCGGCAGCTTCTTGATCGGTCGGTGGAGGAAGGGGACGACGGGAGCGCGGCCCCGGCACGGGGGTCCCAGAGGGTCTTCGCCGGGCGCTCCAACTCGTCAGCGACCCCCTCTCCTGCCCCTCAGGCCTGCTGAGCGTCGTGGAGCTCTCGGCGCAGTCCATCATCTACGAGGTGTCCGTTGTTGCCTTCATGGTAAGGTCTGGCGGTTGTTAAAGGTCAGGCTTCCGTAGGAAGAGTCTCACCGCCGGCTGCAGCAAGAACCGGCTCCGGCAAGCTCGGGTCTCCTCTTCCCGCCGTGCTTCAGCCCTTCCCTCCCGGGGATGCGTTTTGCATCAGCCCCAGCCTCCTGCTGGGCGCCTCTTTGCAGTCCCTCTGGTGCCACCCGCGCGTGGGTCACCCGCGGCGCCCTGTGCTTGCAGATCCCGCTGGGGCTCGGCACGGCCGCTAGCGTGCAGGTGGGGAACGCGCTGGGYGCTGGCGACGTGGACACGGCCAAGAGATCCTCCTCCACGTGCCTGCTGTGCACGGGTGAGGCGGCGGACGCCGCGCGAGGGGCTCAACGCGCCCCGTGTCCCCGGACACCCCACGCGGGACGCCGCGGGTCCAGCCTGCTCAGCCCCTCGCTGCCTTTCAGGAGGGTTTTGCATAGCGGTGGGGGCCGTGTTGGCGGCCACCAAGGAYGTGCTGGGCTACATCTTCACCAGTGACAAGTGAGTGCCCCGGCTCCCGGCCCCAGCGCGCACCGAGCGGCCACCAGTTTCCCCAGTAACCAGTACCTCTGCTCCCTCCGCAGGGAGATCATCGGCTTGGTGGCCTGGGTCATACCCGTCTACGTTGTCTTCCACTTCTTCGAGGCCATGTGTGTAAGTCCTCGGGGCGCTGCGGTGTTGGACGGGCCCCCGCACAGCCCGGGGGACGTGGCGGGACGGCGGCCGCCGGCTCCAGCCCCTGTCCGCTGCCGTCCCGCGCAGGGCGCCTGCAGCGGGGTGCTCCGCGGCGTAGGCAAGCAGAAGTTCGGCGCCATCCTCAACGCCATCGCTTACTACGGCGTGGGGCTGCCCCTGGGCGCCGTGCTCCTCTTCGTGGTCAAGATCGGCGTCATCGGTACCGCCAAGAGGCGCCGCCTGGTCCCGACCCGACCCTGCGGCGCTGCCGGCGGCTCCGCAGCGGCGGCCGCTGCCGGCCCTGCCAGCGGCGGGTGACGGCGTCTCTGCCCGCAGGTCTCTGGCTCAGCATGCTCATCTGCGTCTCCATCCTCTGCAGCTGCTTCGTCGCCTACATCGTGCGCATGGACTGGAGGAGGGCGGCCCAGGAGGTAACCCCGACACGTGCCCTGCGCCCCGCTCGCTGCTGCGCCGGGCATGAGGGGCAAAGCCAGACCCAGCAAATGGGGCACAACCCAGCGCTGCCCGTCCCACTGYGGCCCGGGGCCTCACGCCTGCCCCGCGGGGCTCCCCGTGCCGTTCCGGGTGCTCTTCTGGGTGCCGCATCTCACCACGCGAGCCGTGCGGGACCAACGCGGCAGCCCTGCCGGTGGGAGCTGCCCGCCCCGGCCCAGGCTGCGAGTTAAGCGCCATCGTTGCCTCCCCAGGCCCAGCTCCGCGCAGGGGTGGCCCAGCAGCCAGCGGAGCAGCCGGGCACAGAGCCCGAAGGATCCTGCAAGGCCCTGCCCCACGGCTCGGCGCCCCACATGCACGGCCCCACGGCGGCGGCGCRGGGCTGCATAGGTACTGCGCGGCGGGGTCGCTTGGGGAGGGACACGCCAGGGGCTCCCATCTTGGAAACACTGGGACCCCACTAAATATGGGCTGAATTCTGCACACCAAGGGCTGGAGAGCCCTGCAAGRCCCCAGTGCCCCTGGTCCATAAAGCGCTTTGAGGCCTGGCAAAAACCCCTGCACCGACCTGGGTGACTCTGCCTTGCTCTTGCTGCAGCGGGCAYGGACGCCCAGAACGGCGTGGTGCTCATGGGCATCACCAGGCTGGAGGGAGCAGCGGAGCGGCCGGAGCGCCGGGAGGCAGCGGCCGCCGCGCCGGCTCCGGGCGCCGCCGTCCCCCTGAGGAAGCTGCTCGTGCGCCGGGGGCTGGTGGGCGCCGCGGCCGTGGCGGTGCTGGCGCTCGGCGTCGCCGTGAAGCTCGCGACCGCGAGGCCCTGAGCGGCGCCGAGGGCCTCGGGGCCAGAGGCGCCTCCGGACACGCACGCAGCGCAGCCCGACCCGCCCGGCGCCGGGGGGGCCCCTGGGGCAGGGGTCCTCGCGCCGCTGCCTCGTAAAGAGCAAACCCGYGGGACCCCGGCGGCTCCTGTGCGCGGAGCTGCAGCCCCGGCTGGGCCGGCCCGGCTGCCTTTGGGGGCTGCAGCCCCCAGCGCAGGCCCTGGGGTCCYGGGTCACTGGGTGCCCCTAGGGACAGGGACACCGGGCGCCTTCCTGCGCCCTGGAGCCCCGCGCGCTGCTCCTGCCCCGCAGCACCAGGCGCCCTTCACCACAAACAGCTTCTRCTCCGCGAGGCTCAAGGTCAGGCTTCCAGTTACAAGCCTGGAGATAAAAGATGACCAGTAAATCAATAAAAAAGGAGAAATGCAATTAATTCTCTAAGCGTAAGTTTAGGAAACAGCCTCTCTCYTAGAGCCGGGCACTCAGGTCACGGCAGCTCCTCCTGGTCAGGGCACAGCCCTGTACCCTGCACCAACCACGTCACGCTCCCGTGTCCTTGGGGCAGTTGGCTGCAGCTCGGGAATCCTCTGCTGTCCCCTCGCGGGCCCTTCCACGCCGTGGGGGCCTAGCAGGGGTTTCCCGTGCACCGAGACCTCGCTCGTGCTGCAGTAAACCCYTTCAAGGGCAGCATGGTTCATGTTCCTAGAGGTTGTTTCTCTTCTGCTCCTGGGCAGCMTGCTAGGGGACAACGAACCTGAGCTGTCCCCAGGGCCACCAGGATGATGACAAGTTCCACCAGACCTGAGAACACACACATATGTCAGGCTCGATGCCGCACAAGACTGTTTGCTATAGGGCTCACCCAAGACATAACATGTAGATAACAGGCTCTGTCACAACTTTCTTGGCTTTCACACACTTGTGGCAAATGACTCCCCAGTTCAAGACCTACAAAGGACTTGTCTTACCTGGGGTGCAGACAGACCAGTTCAAGACCTTTGTAGGTCTTGAACTGGTCTGTCTGCACCCCAGGTAAGACAAGTCCTCCTTCCACCTGCCTTTCACCACTGTTCAGGCACAACTAATGGTTTAGGTCTAGATCAATCACTGTAATTCAACAGGAACCTCAGCCCTCATTTGCTCAGCATTTCCTCTGCTTTGAGTTGGTTTCATTTCCTTCTACCTCTTCGGAGGACTAGATGTTTCAGAGGAAGAGAAACTGCAGCAAAATCAAGTATAAAAATAGGAGTGCAGGAGGAGAATGCGTTGTGCAGAGCCGCTGGCCCATCCAGCAGCTGCCACCTAGAGACACGGTCCTGACACGGCACCGAGCCCGGCCTGGAAGCAGGGATGAGCCACAGGCTGCCAGGGACAGCGGGGGCTCAAAGGAGCGCACAGAAACACGAACGCTCAACACCCGGCCTAGCCCCACGCTCTGCTTTGGGAGTATTCTGGGTGCTCTCCACTTGCAGATACCATTTAACATTAATACTCTTACACAGACTAGAAGAGCAGCAAAGCTGAAGCTGCTCCTTAGCGCAGGGACGCGTTACAGGACATTCCTCAGTCTTCCCACACAAATTCGCAGGGATGTTGTGTAAACACAAATCCTTGACCTAAATTCCTCACCTGGTACAAGAGACCCTGGAAGCAGGAGACTCCCAAGGCACCCGTGTCCACCTCTGTTGGAAGGAAGGCTGGGACACAGGGCTGTGCAAACCCAGAGCCCTGCAGCAGGCGCCCAAAGGCCTCCTGCGGCACAGGGAACATCTCTGGAAYGCGACACCTGGGTCCAGCTACAGAGGCAGGCGCCACAGGAGCTTTCGGGTATAAATCTGTGTTTATTTAGCACTTGCAAAATGCATTATTATAAAAGCTTAGCGCAGACTAAGAAGAAATCCCATTCATTGCACAGTACACAGAGGTTTCCACTTCATATTGCAGAGAATTGCATTTATCCCAGATTCTTCATTTTTCCTTGTTTTAAGATGAGACCTTCAATTTCCCCAGCACCCACTCCCCAAGCTAAAGCAGCTCCCATGTTATTTCCAGTGCATGATTAGAGGAAAGCCAGGGGCTCACACACAAAGGAATGCCCTCTGCTTCTGGAATTGCTTTTCCTTGGAGGAATCAAGAGCTACCACGGGTTGTCTTTCCCACTTCCCTCAGCAGGCCTGCGAGCTGCTTTGTGCCAGCCAGGATACTCTGATTTGCAAGGCAGATACGGTGCAAATGCTTTCTTGGCCATTTTGTAAAAAGCCACCCAATTTTTCAGAGCATGTCATGAAATTCACACCCCAGAGAGGATCCCCTCTGCAGCCGTGCACACTCCTTGTGCACAATCCTTGCTTTAAGGGATCCACGGATACTTCACCTTGACTACAAGGTAATTGGGAACCTCYGTGTTGCTGCGGCTCAGATGAGCACAGCCCAAAACAGACATCCCACCGGGGCAGGGAYGGCACTGCTGCCCAAAGCACAGCCGAGGAGGGGACCGTCCGTCACGAGGGCAGCCGCCGCGGGGCRGCGCTCTGTGCGGCACGGCTGGCGCAGGCGGCACGGGCAGGTCTTGCTCCGCAGTCCTCCTTTTTGTTCCTTCTACCAAGTGGTCCCTTCATCTCAGCACGGCTTTTTAGCGAACACGAGTCCCCACGAGGGTCGTTCTAAGGCTGTTCTGTGCTCCCAGCAGCTCCGTTACCAAGGAAAAAAGTCATTTCCACCAAGCGAGCGCTCAGGGGACGGTGACGATGGCAGCCGATGGTGGCACCTTCTGCTCTCCTCAGTGGAGGGCGGCCTGTGGAGGCGGGACACAGCAACACCGGGAGCTGCGGGGGCAGCGCGGCCCCTCTGCAGAGCAGCAGCCCCAGCCCCAAGCAGAGGCTGTCGCTCCCGGGCGCTGCGGGCCCGGCTCGCTGCCCTGTCCCCTCGGCCCGTGCCCAGGGCTGCTCGTCTGGGACACCCCGGCAGCTCCAAAGGCGACAGCCAGAGAAACGCCCCATGCTCCCAGGGGAACCCTCTCCAAGCCCGACTCACTGCTCTGCCCCAGCTTCGCCCAACCTCACGCCGAGCCTGCGTACAGTAGAAGAGAAAGACTCCTACCTCGCTGCAAGAGCCACAGCACCGCTCTGAAACCTGCTCCTCCTTAACTCCCACTGAGCCAGCCCAGCCTCTGAACGGCCAGCAAAGCCCACAGGGCTTTTCTCTTCAGCACAGACTGGTGGTTCTGAGGAAACCCAAACGATTGGGAGAGGCTCTGAGCGTCGCCCTGCGGCTCTCCGTCCCGGCCGCGTGTGCGGAGGACAAGACAAGGAGGCTTCTCCCCACACGCCCAGTGCCTCCCCCTGCACCCCTTTCGTCCCTTGTCTCCTGCATGGCTGCTCCCTCGGGCCACCAAGGCATGGGGCAGGGATGGGAAGGATGCAGTGGAGCCCCGSCTCCTGCTTCCCCTGGCACATCACGGAGAAGCGAGGGCGCACGTGCGGTTTCAGGTCTTTTCCTACCTCTCCAGAGGCATCTCGAGCTCTCCAAGCAAGCTCAGCAGGCTTTTGCCTCCCACACAAAGACAAGGACACCCCACCCTGCCACTTCCCCCTGGGAGCAGGAGGAACTGGAAATGCCTCTAATGCCTGCTAAGGGCAGGTGGAAGCTGCTGCTGGTTGTGGAGCAGGAGCTCTTCCCAATCTTTTCCTAGGTCTAGGCCTTCCGTCACAGCTCCCTTCCCCAGAGCTCCCGTCTGCTGCTTGGGAAAACCCTGGAAACCAAGGACAAAGCCCCCCAGGACATCACAGCCCGGTGCCACCTGCCCAGGCAGAGCAACAAGCACCATGGCAGCCCAGCAGACCCCTCGGAGCACATTTGCTTTCTAGGCAGCACAGSCAAGAGGGGGAAAGGAGTCCTGGTAATTCCAGATGAGCCAAACGTTGCAAGGACCAAGCCAGAGCAGACACGTTGGCTTCGGGGAAACAGCGCAGCTGCAAGGGAGGAGCTTGCAAAGGACCCCGTGAATTGCAGGCTCCCATGGGAAGCAGAGATGCAAGCTCACCTTGATCAACACAGCGGCCACGAGCCCCAGCAGCGCCAGGGCCACCAGCCCCACTCGACCCCACTGAAAGCGCTTCAGCAGGAAGAACTTGGCCCAGGCCACCTTCTTCTGGCTGGCCGGCGGGTAGCGCAGCTTGTTGGCCCCCTCCATCTTCAGGTCCTTGATCAGGCAGGAGCGGTGGTGCGAGAAGGTGTCGAAGCTGTGCTGCCCATGGTAGGCGCCCATCCCGCTGTGACCTGCGCACACAGCCCCACAGGTCACCTCGCAGCCTGGGCTCGCCGGGCCCCGCTGCTTCACGTGGTGCAAACGAGAGCACAAGCCAATCCTAGGTGCCCTCTGTCTGCTCTGCCTGTCAGCTACCCCGCATCTTCCTCACTGCAGCTGAAAGGCCCAACTGCTCCTCTGTAGCCCTGCAGAAAAAACAAGCCCTTCTCTTCTGCAGAACTTGTCCCAGGCTTGGGATGTCCACCCACCTCCATACCTTACCTTCCCCACACCCTTTTAATGGAGCCACCTCCAGTCTGCAGSATGTTCCCGTGGGTGCTGTCTGCTGGGCCTCCGAGCCCCCACTGGCTCTCCTGCAGCYTGAAGCTCAAGTCACCAGAGGTTAAGGAGACCCAAGAACTCACCAACACCCCCAAAAGGCAAGCTTGAGAGGAAAAAGTGCATGATGACATCATTAGCAGTAACTCCTCCACTGGTTGTCTCTGAGATGAATCTGTCGATTAACTAATAGGAAAAGAAACACACAAAAAAACCACCTAAATAGGCTGCACCCTCTTTAACCAAGTGAACACTGTAGCTAGAGATGGACTAGGAGGTGGGAYAGGTGCCACAAGAGCCACCGCGGCGGTTTCCCATGGCTGTCAACTCAGACAAGCCCCTATTGGCAAACATAACGCAAGGCAAAAASAAAAACTCAGAGGGATGTGGAAGCAGGGAAGCCAGGGGCTCTCCTCCCCAGCTACGCTTGACGTAGACACCTGCAGCACTGGATCACCCGGAGCCGCCCCAGCTGTGGAGCAGAGCCCAAACCCACCTTCTTGTTGTTGGAGAAGACGTAGAGGGCGAGCGGCTTCTCCCGGCTGTTGATGAGCTCAATGGCCTCGTCCGCGCTCTTTACCGGCACTATGGGAAGGACGGGCCCAAAGATTTCCTCCTGCATCACCTTGGCATCCGGGGACACATCTGTGAGGATCGTTGGCGCTGGGAAAACAGCACAGCAGGACCATGAGCACGGACAAAAGAGTGGGCCCAGGGCAGGAGCCGCACCTGAGCAGTGCTAGGGTTGAATGCGCAGCAAGACACACCAAAGCAGCCCCCAAACTATSCCTCGTGCCCCCAYGGCYGCCCCAGCCCCGCTTGGGAACACGGCTACCTATGAAGCAGGAGGCCTCATCAGTCTCTCCCCCGTGAGCGACCTTCTGCCCCTCCAGCAGGGCCAGCACCCTGTGGAAGTGGCGCTTGTTGACGATCCTCTCGTAATCCGGAGACGACTTCACATCGTCCCCGTAGAACTCCTGGCAAAAGGACACGGCGACGTCAACTCCCAGCCAGAGCCGACTCGCGTTACCGGCCTGAGGGTCTGAGCAGTGCCGAGGCGCGAGCAGCCCCGCACTCACCCGCAGCGTCGCCTTGATGTTCTCCACCACCTGGGCCTGGATGGCCGGGTCGCAGAGGATGTAGTCGGGGGCGATGCAGGTCTGCCCGCAGTTCATGTACTTGCCCCACGTGATGCGCCTGGGCGGCGGGGGAGAAGGAGCCTCCGGTGTTTGTCCCCTCCAGAGCCCCACGGAGGGGCCCGTGCCCTCCTGCCCCACGTGCTCCCGGCCACGGCGGCCCCGGGCGGCCTCACCTGCAGGCGATGGCCAGGTCGCAGTCCCTGTCGATGTAGCAGGGGCTCTTGCCGCCCAGCTCCAGGGTGACGGGCGTCAGGTGCTTGGCGGCCGCGGCCATCACGATTTTGCCCACGGCAGTGCTGCCCGTGTAGAGGATGTGGTCAAATCTGTGTGTCAGCAGCTCCGTCGTCTCAGTTACCCCTCCAGTGACCACCGGGTACAGCTCCTGGGGGCAAAGCAGAGCCTTGTGACTGCCCTGATGCAGAGCAACAAATATCAGGGTACAGCTCTCCAGGGCACAGACTCTCTTGCRGGTTGTTCAGGATCAAGGTGATGGGAACAGACACAGTATCTGCTGCTTCTGCTCAAACCAGGCTTCACTTGTCACCTCGTCCCTGCACAAGAGGACTAGACTGCCAGAGYAAAAATGTGCCTCAGTGGACCACAGCAAGGTCCACTTGGAAGAGGACCTTGCTGTGGTCTCCACTTGGAGGAGAGAGCTGCCAGGTGAGCTGGGCACGAGACAAATACTGCTTGTAGGGCATGGATTACCAGCATATGGGAACAGGGGTCTGACTGTCCCGAGCTCCTCGCAGAGCCCCTGCTTGTAGGGGAGAGCCTGGCCCAGGCAGCACCTGAGGCGCCCGGCTGCCAGCAGTGAGCAGCGGGACGGGCAGGCTGGGGAGCCGCGGGACGGGCAGCGCAGGAACCCRCGGGACGGGCAGCATGGGGAGCCGYGGGAYGGGCRGGCTGGGGAGCYGYGGGACGGGCAGCGCAGGAACCCACGGGACGGGCAGCATGGGRAGCCGYGGGATGGGYGGGCTGGGGAGCCGCGGGACGGGCGCTCACACCTGCACGCTCTGTGGCAGGTGCCAACARGACTATCACGTTGCAGAGGGATTACCCAGGTGTGTCAGACCACACAAGAGCAGGGAGAATGAGAACATATTATCTGAACCACCTGCCTGCGCAATCTCAAAGCAGCCCATCCCTTCCCATGCTGCTGCTCTGTGCCCTTTTCCAAGAGGACCAGCAAGCGAGSCGCCCCCGAGCCGAGGCCGAGCCCGTGGGCCGCACTCACCGGGTCGAGGTACTTGGGCAGCAGGTCGGCCAGGAGGCGCGCCGTGTGCTCGCTCACCTCGGAGGGCTTCACCACCACGGCGTTGCCTGCGGGAGCAGCCCGGTGAGCGGCGCCCCGCGCACCCCGCGCCGCCCGCCCGCCGCGCGCACCCACCTGCGGCGATGGCGCCGATGAGCGGCTGCATGACCAGCACGAAGGGGTAGTTCCAGGCGCCGATGACGAGCACCAGCCCCAGCGGCTCGGGCCGCACGAAGGCCTCGTCGCGCAGCGTGAGCAGGTTCCTCTTGGCGCGGCGCGGGGCGGCCCACGCGGGCAGCTGCGCCGTGGCCAGCGCCAGCTCGCCCAGCACGCCCAGCAGCTCGTGTCCGTAGGCGTTGGGCCCGCTCTGCAAGCACGGGGCGCTGGCAG